GTTCCATGGTTTGAATTTAGAATACATTGATAACACACTGATGTTTTAGTTGTTGCTAAGCAGTGCTACCCCTGAATCAAGGACTTTTCATTGTCCCGTGCTCTGCCAGTGAAGAGAGGCACACGAGGCTGGGAGGGAGCATGGCCAGGGCAGCTGACCCCAGTTAGGATATTCCAGATATCCAAAGGAATATTCCAGACCATGAAACATCGACCCCAGTGCATGGACTGGGAGGGAGCTGGCTGGGAGCTGCTGGTCTCTGCTGGGGCAGGGGATGGACATTGGTCAGATGGGGCTGAGGGAGAAGTTGACCACATTTTACAGAGTAAAGGTGGCTCCGTTCAGATTTCAGTGATGTTTTAGTTTGCACGCTCAAATGAACAGCATTGATGACACTTTGTGAACAAGAACTTGTTTGTCACCTGTGCAAGGAGCAGTCATGTGCAAACTCTGAAACTTTCTAGAAATCTTTAAACTGACATCAAGAAACTACAGACCTCAAGAAAATACACTTTACTTGAAGTCCATTGAATGTAACTTACTCAAAAGTGAAAAAGATGTTTCTGGAATCTTCTTCTGCAATTATGACTTGACTTCTGGAGGTTTTTTCCACAGTAAGGACATTTTTAAACAGTGTGTCTGGGAACAGATATGAGAGTGACAGTATAGAAGCTTTGTGTCAGAAGGATAAGCTGTTGTAGTAGACAAGAGGAGTATGTTGCATTTCCTAGAGCAGGTTTTACTGCACTTTTCTCTGTAACAGGATCTTTGGCTATGTGATCTGACATTTTTGGACTGCATTCAGACGAGAAATTCTTGTACTAAATGTAAACTTTGTTTTACCTTTTATGCCGTTGCTATAAAAGTGAAATTTTACTTTTAAACTTACTTAATGATCAGCACTGTGCAATTGAGCTCTTGGGTTTCTTGCTCTTTGTTTGCTCTGGTGCTCCAAGTCTTGGGTTTGGTATTAAACTTTTTTGATCCCTACCAAAATATGCTCTGAAATCCATTAGGTGATGATCTGTCCCCGGAAGTGTGTTGCCTGGTTCTCTGATTTCTACCTTTTCATTTACATTCTTGTCTGTCACTGTTATCACAAAAGAAGCTGTAACACTTAACAAAATAAAATGAATATGGATAAACCGGTAAAGCTGGTTCCTCTGGATATTTTCACTTGTCCTTCAGATGTGTTTTATTCTCTGGTACCGTTACTGAGCTCAGATTTATACAGATGTTTATACATCTGTTGGATAATTTCCATCTCATAGAAACGAGAGACTGGTTTTTGGTAGCTTTAACACTTTGTGAATTTGCACAGGGAGTAGGATTAAAATTGGAACGATTGCTTGGCACTTCCATAGAGTTAAGTGTCCAGACCTTTTAGAGTGTGAGTATCCAGAAGCCATGATTTTTGATTAATGTGAAGGACTGATTGTAGGCATTGCTGCATGTGTGCAGCAGAAGAGTGACAGCTGCTGATTGTAACAAGTTTGCTTGTTACAAACCAGGGGTTTATTTAAAGATACTCTAAACTGCTCTGAAGACTTCACAGAATTACTTAGTCAAATGTGAGATGCTTTAAAAGAAGTTGAGTAAATAGGATTATATAAAAACATCTGAAACATCAGCCGAGTGAAAATCCCTTTGGCTTGTGATCTACAAAGGCAGAAGTTATTCTTGAAGCACTTAATTCAGGATATACCATACCTCATTAAAAGTGGGAGTATCGGAGTTTTCTCCTAGGCTCTCATTTCTTGCACAGTCTTAGGCAAGTGATACTATTTACCCAATATGTTTCTCATTTCAAAATGTGATTCTGTGGGCAGGACACAGAAATAGTTGAAAATGTGTCCTAAAAGAATGTGCTTGCTTATGTTGTTACGGTCTAGAATTACTCCTGAATTTCTGCTACAATCAGCTGAAGAGGAGAAAATATGTGGGTCCTGAGATATGAAGGGAGCTAGTCACAGTGGAAATGTTACAATATGCCTTCTGAGCAGAAGAGTGATGTTCTTTCCTTTCAGTCATTGCCTTAAGAACTGAAGGTCAGTGGACTCCTTCAGACTTCCATGTGAAAATTGGAGTTGATGTTGCCCTTCACTGTAGATTTCTGGCTTTCAACAAGCACAGTTTACTGCTCTTCCCAAGGAGATGTTACAGGAGGGAGTCAAGGGAGGATGGTTCTTCCAGAAAAGGCCTCCTTTTGCCTCCTTAGCAAGAAAAGGACTAAGAAGCTGAGCTTTAGCTTTTTTTCCCTTGAATGCTAATTTTGCAGTTTAATGGCAGGAAGGAGATAGTAAAATCAATTCCATTTTTTGGCAGTAATCTGGACTGTGTATATGATATGAATTCCTTTTATCACCAAAAGAAGCTCAGTAATGATTTGTTTGTCGGCACATGGCCAAAATGCAGGGATTTTGGACTAGCTCAGAAATAGCTGTGCTCTTCAAGCTTTACAGTCTGTTCAAATTTAAGCCTTCCCATCATTCTAGAAATGAGAGTATGTGCAGAGGGGGAAATGAACATTTTTTGGCTTTGAGTCACTGGGCAGACTGCAATGAATACAGGCTTTGATTCTGTAAGGGACCTTTTTTTCCTTCAGTCCACCCAGTTGTGTAAATTGAGGGTTATTAACTTGTTCACCCCATTGGAGCTGCTTATTGTGTGCTGCTGGGGGAGGGAATTCTAGAGTAGCTAAAAGGCACAGCAGTGCTCCTTCTGTCAAATGTACTGGAACTTAAACTTTTAAAACTTAAAAGCCATCCTTGCTTTTCCATAAGGCACGCTCTTGGAAACCAAAAGTTTCTTTGGTTTCTAAATTGTGCAGACTATCATGAGCATCTTCTCCAGACCTCCATGGCAGGGCATTTAGACTAGTTGATTTTTAAAGCTGCCTTCTAACCCAACCCATTCTATGTTTCCATGACCTTGAGTTAATTATTTATGATATTGAAAACTGAGAATCCTAGAGAGTGCCATTAGTAAAAAAGGGCCAGTAAAATTGAGGTTGTGGGGAAACAATGTCAGTGAATGTTGTTGAGTCAGAATGAAACCAAATTTGCTTTTCATTCCTGTGCCTAACAGGAATTGTGCCTATTTTAGAAGGATATTAAACCTATTTGCATCTTGCTGTTGCCTGATGCCTTTCTGAATAGGACTAATGGGATAACCTAGGCAGAGTGAATGTATTTAATGCTGTCTTTTTCTGCTGGAGAATCTGCTTAGGGCTGGTCAATATATCAGTTATTGCTGTAAAATACAAGATATTGTTCACTGGAATGATAAATGAAGGTGAGTAGACAGTGCAAGGGACATGGGTTATCTACAAGAAATTGTTTAGGCCATCAAGTTTTCTTAGTGTGGACAAATGTGAGGTCATTCATAAAATTTGAAGGATGTGTACTGTGTATTACATACCAGAAATTGCATTCTGGGTAAGCAAAATTGGGTCAAGAACTTGGTAAGAAATTGGGTCAGGAGGGGTGGGACCTCCTCTTTGAAAGATGAAGCTTCAGTGACTACTGCAAGACTTGGGTACAAAACTGGTATGAACCTGTCATTTCTCCATCAAAACCCTCCAAAATATTGAAGGTTCTGGATGGCACACTGTAGGCTGGAAGAAGTCTCCTTTTATTTATTCAAAAATGAAAATTTTAAGCAGCTTATTGAGTTGACAGAAATAGTTAATAAGGCTTGACACCAAGGAGAGAGCTGTAATGTGGGACAAATGCACAGCCAGCTCCCATCCTTGGCTTGACAATTCAGGGCATTAATCTCAACATTACTGATAATAATTTGTAGATAAAGTAAGCGAGGTTATATACCACATTCTCTGTCCCTTTGGATGGTATTATTGATGCATCATCTTGATTTTTAAAGTTGTTAACTGTGGTATGGGAATAGGATGGGGAGAAGTGTTCTGGGAACTGTGGAGGGGGCCAGTCTCCCTCTGTGCTGACTGTGGAGCTTTCTTGGCGTGGCCATGTGGTGCATGGCAGCTCTCTGCTTTACATCTGAAGGGTGCAAAAAGCTCCTTCTCTCCTTCCTAGCTTCCTCCAATTTGTTTACCTTGGAAGCTGAAGTGTTGAATGGAGTCCCTGATGGGCCATGAGCATTGCAGGAAGCAAACAGGAATGTGGGACTTCCATGGCCCCCTGCTTTTTTCCTCCATGGGAAGCTAGTGTGTATCAAAATATGCAGATGATGTGATTAGTCATGATAGAGCAGAAAACTACCAAACTGTTCCTGTAAAGTTTTAATGATGTCTACCAGCCTCATATCCCAGCTCAGTGAATTATTTTAGTTTTCCTTTTCATAAATCTCTTGGTACTCCCCAAGGATATGGATGTTTCTCTTTATTCGAACTTTGCTTAAAACTCTGATCCCTGTTACTGCTTTTCTTTGATAACTTGCCTTTGTCTAACTGGCAGAAGTTTCGTAGTAGTTTCTGAAATACCTTGAAAAATCAAATGAATGAGTAAATTCCAGTACTGGATTACAAGCTGAACAGAAGTGTCAGTTAAACAGAATAGATTTTTGTATTTGGACTGCAAATTGAGGTGAAACATTTTAAAAGGTAAATGAATTCCTCTCCTTGGCTTACCTTTCATTACCCTGAAATGCCAGGTACATTATAGAGGCATTAACACCAGCACAGTGACATTGAAACATAAAATAGGGAGTAATCCTTCCCTAGAAGTGGGAAGGCTCAGACTCCATATCTGGGATTTAATGAGGCATGACTTAGAGGAGCACTGCTGGCTTCCAAACCTGCTAGAAACATATGCAGAATGGATTAAACATGTGAGTTGTTCTCGGATGCCTAAGAATGTAATCATTTTTTTGCTTGTTCTTCTGAATTCTTTTCTCAGTGCCGTACATGGAGAGACTTCTTTATTTGCCAAGACCTCAAATCATAGTTTTGTATGGAAAACAACATCACCTTCCTCTGTTCATCTTTCTACAATACATTTTCTATGGTTTTTTTTCCCCTCCAGTGTTCTGAGGATGATAAACACAACGATGAGCCACCTCAAGAAGATGAAGGTTTTATGGGAATGTCACCTCTTCTACAAGCCCACCATGCTATGGAGAGAATGGAAGAATTTGTGTGTAAGGTAAGGGCACGTGGAAACTGCTGAAGTAACTTCCTTTTTTTGGGAAGCTCCAGTGGGCAGCAGATTCCACTTGGAGCAGCTGCACTGCTAATGTGAGGGAGAGGAGGTTCTCACTGTCCCCAAATGGGGATCTCGTGTTCTGAGTAGCAATACTGCACTTCCTCAGCATCTGTCTGTCGTGCAGGATTAAATTGTAGATCGTGGAACAATAGGGATTTACAGCTGAGACACCAAAGCTGATCATGCCACTCAGGTGTGTCCCTTGAGAAACACCTGTGAATGCAAAGCAGAACAAAAGCTTTCTGGTTCGAGGCACTTTGACTTTCAAGGTCATTTGACCAGATTTCTTCAGATTTGCAAATACTTTGCTTTTCCACCACCGTTTGCATCTATTGTACAATAAGCTTTGTCCCTGACTTGAAAACAATGCTGTATTGAAACCATAAGTAAATCCATTATAGATTTTGTAATTGTTGACCTTGGCTCAATTTTTGCTACTTTTTAGAGCCACTGGGCTGTGTCAGTCTCTGGCTCTCCTTTCTTGCTGAAAGGAATGCTGCCCCTTTATACACTGGTTCCTGCTAGTTTTATGAGCTAGTTTTGATATTTTTACAGAGGGACCTTATTTACTTGGTGGTGTGTATGGGTCATTTTGCTTTTTTTGCTTTTGTTGATTTTTTTTTTTTCTACTCATCTTTGCCTCTTTTAAAATATTTTGTAGGTTGAATTGTGTAAAACTAATTCCCTCCTCCTATTTCTACCTCAATTCACATTTTTTGTTCATGAACTAAACCAGTTATTTTCTTGTTTAATTTAAGAACCCAGTCTTAAACTGGAGCTGGTTATTCTGAATGGCTTTGTTTTGCTTCCACGCACGAGTGTGGAGAATTGATTCAAAAACTCTGGGCTCTTGTTGTTGAAACTGAAATAAGAATGTAGCTTTTTAAACTTAGTGTTTCAGGAACCTTCAGCCTTGCTCCCGTAACTCTAGCCCGCCGGCAAGTCCAAGGAATCCTGCAGGAACAGCCCCGGTACATAAAGCAGTTCCCTGCTCCCCCAAGCTGCCACACTGAAGCCTCCATGTGTCTTGTGTTACTGAAGCAGTGCTGGGAACATCTGTGCACACTTATTTCCTGTGGAGCCAGCTGCAAGAATCGCTCTGTGCACAAAACCCCCTCTCTCCCTTTAAAGAAGAAATCCCATGGAATTGAGAGTCAGGAGTCTGTTGCCTTAACTGCTCTGTCACTGTTTGTTTGTGAGGTTGAGAGGAGCAACCTGAATAAGGGGTTGGACTCTTCTTGCTGGGCTCTCACTCTTTCACATTTTCTGGCCCCTATTAGTGCTAATGGGTAGCTTCTTCTGCTAGCCTGCCCCAAATGGTAGCAGATAGACAGTGAGACTGGCTTGTGGTGGAGGATCAGGTTCATTTATTTATTGGAGAGAACTAGGTATGGGCTTCTTCAATTAAATGGAAAAGGTGGCCTGTAAAATAACAGAACATGGAAGTGAATTAAATACTTTCTCTTCATCAGCAGTAAAAGCAGCCAGTAGCCTTCCTGTCCAATGGAGTGCTGAAGTATTTCTTTCTCTGATGGTGCATTCATAATGGTACAGTTTTGAACTGGGAGCAGTGACTTTAGCATGATATCTCAAGTGTAAAACCTTTTCCCCAGAGATGTTCCATCTACTCTCTTCTGCTTACTGCACTCACAGGCTAACTCCAGCACTTTTACCAATATGGGTTTTCTGACTATTTCCATGATGGAGCTCCACTTCCTGCATTTCACTAAACTCTTTTAACCCCTAGGTATGGGAGGGCCGCTGGAGAGTCATTCCCCACGACGTTCTGCCTGACTGGCTGAAGGACAATGACTACCTGCTGCATGGACACAGACCACCCATGCCTTCCTTCCGGGCTTGTTTCAAGAGCATCTTCAGAATACACACAGAAACTGGCAACATCTGGACACATCTCTTAGGTACTCTCAGCTTGCTTTAATCTAATCCTAAATCTCACCCAATGGTTTCGATACTCTCAAAGAAAAGAGAGCAAGACAGAAAGGGCTGTGGGGTTGTCAGCATTCGTTCCACCTGTAACCTGTTAAATTAGCAGCTTGTTACCCCTCTCCTGATTTTATCCCATCAGAGCTGGATAGGACTTGTTTAATTATGGATACTATACAAACAAATGCATTAAACGTTTCCTAATCGTTAATAAATTAGTGTTAGAGCCTTCCTTTCCCAAGTGTGTAGGTGTTAATTGGGATTGTATTTCTTGCCACAGATTGCATCTTCTCTGAGTGTTTCCAGCTTGTGAGAGCCTTGAAGGGAAGTGGTGATGCTCATAGGAAAAAAAAGCTTTCAGTATGCATGAACTTGACACCTCTCTGCCTTGCTGTTTTTCAGGATGTGTGTTCTTCCTTTGTCTGGGAATCTTCTACATGTTCCGGCCAAACATGTCCTTTGTAGCACCTGTGCAGGAGAAAGTGGTCGTTGGATTGTTCTTCTTGGGAGCCATACTCTGCCTCTCCTTCTCATGGCTCTTCCACACAGTTTATTGCCACTCAGAAGGTGTTTCCCGGCTCTTCTCCAAGTAAGTGCCTAGAGAACAGGGCAGGCCAAATAGGAAACAGGTGGGAAAACAGGGCTGGGATTTGTGCCTGGAGCCCCAGTGTGGGAGTTGTTCATTTCATGACTGCATGTACTTTGGAACAGAGTTGAGCAGAGATTTAATGCAGCTTCTTCTAATTATAGTTTGTTTCAGCATGAGTTTTTGTGCTGTCATTTGAGTCTTAAAACTCCATCATTTTGTGCTGTTTGGCAAGCATGTGCTTGCATTTGCTGCTGTAAGTAATATGCCTTGAGCTTAGTTGCAGGACTTGGAATTTTTGGTGCAACCGTTACTTCCTGTCATTTCAGCTGTTCTGACTGACTTTGAACCTTAAACTTATGTAAGACAGTTCCACAGTGTGTATCAAGATGTCTTGGTCTTTGGGTTTCACTGCACGTTCTTTTTTGGCTGGCTGCTGAATATCTGATATTTCCTAAGACTGCTCAACCTAGGATTCTGTAATCTGCAAGACCACCTCTAAAGTAGCCCAGCAGTTAAAACCCCTACTGAAAAACTAACTCCGTCAACTTTTGCAGGAGTATTTTGTCAGGGTGTGGCAAAAAGCAGTGGCTGTGGATTTCCTTTTTTTACACGGGTGTACAAAAAACCAGCATGGTTGAAAAATTGCAGCATTAATCGACTGTGATCACTGAAGCTGATGCCCAGTTAACTCACACTTGTCAGATATTGAAGTGTTTGCCTTGGCTGTGTTCTCAGAATATACTGTGTGCCCTGTCTTTAGAGGGCTCTTGCACTGCTTTTTTTTCCTCATCTGAAACTAAAATGCGAGTTTTCATCAGAAAGCTTTGGTCAGCTTTGGTCTAAAGGCTGCTGAAGGTATTGCTGATGACTGTCTCAAAAATGGCCTTCCTGGCTGTCTGTCAAGGTAATCCATTCCTGTAGGTGGAAGAGTTGCCATCAGGACCCAAGCTGCAATAGTGAGAGTAATTTAGTTGCAGTGAGAAGTAGACAGTAGCTCTACTAAAGAAGAGTGTGTGGGTGTGAGGATTTCCAAAGGTTCACACTTCTTATGACACTGATTTTTGTTTTCTTCTAGGCTGGATTATTCTGGCATTGCACTCCTCATAATGGGCAGCTTTGTACCATGGTTGTACTACTCCTTCTATTGCAACCCTCAGCCTTGCTTCATCTACTTGATTGTGATTTGTGTCCTGGGCATTGCAGCCATAATTGTCTCACAATGGGACATGTTTGCCACCCCTGAATACCGGGGTGTAAGGGCAGGTAAGACCTGAAGTCAACTGTTTTGCTTCTTGACTGTCTTTCCTGCTTCCTACTTGCCACTTGGAAAAACCACCTTGGGAAGACTTAAGAGAGCATAATTTTATAGACCTAATGTTCTTGAATTGGGAGCTTGGTGGGTTTTCTTTCAGCGTTTCTTGTACTCAGCTGGATGCACAGATCAGGGCTGGTGCCAGTCCTGGAAGTGCATTCCTGAAATGGACAGTAACACATGCAGTGGGAAAGGTGGTGCAAAGGGTTTCTAGCTGCATTTAGCAACTTTGCTCTCTCAAAAAATGACTGACTGCTTGGTGTGTGTATGTGTACTTGTAGTGCTTGTGCTTTTCTTATAGCAAATCATTGAATGATTGAATTAATCTGAATGATTTGCCTGGATAAAACAATATTAAGATAAAGACTTTTCCTCTTCTCATCAAAAGAACAAAACCAGATTTGGTTTCCCATTTTGAGGTAGGAAGAGCTTTAGAGGGCAGCTATGGAATGTGCACACAGCTGGGTTGAATATTAATATTTCTTGTTTCTTAACCTGCACATGCTGTCTACAGTAAATCTAGATTTTTCTGGACAGGTTTGGGTACCTTCAGAGCATTCAGCTTTCCAAACTTAAAATCTCGTATGGAACATGAATATTCCCCCCATGCCTACAAGTTTTCTGTCCTTGCTGCTAAAATCTAAACAAATAGTGTTCTCTTACATGGCAGATCAGATCAGCACAGATGCTGCTTTTCTGTTTCCTAGGAGTACTTGTGCAGAATATGATAAACAATCTCTTTGTTGTGTCTCCTTGTCTTGCTCTTGAGTGGTTGTGGTGAAGTGAGGCACGGTCTGTGTGGTCTCAGTTCCCTCTACAGGCCAAGAGCAGGAACTGGCCTCACACTGGAGCTGGCAGGCACAATCAGTGAATGAACTATTCCAGCTATTTGCTGGAACATATAACTAAGTAGCTTCTGGTATACGGAGGAAGTTTGTGCATTCTTTAGCTTCCTTACCAATAAATCTCTTCTGGGGACTTGCAGCTTCAAGAGCTGTCACTTCTCTGCTACTTTGGCAAATACTGAGTTTTGCTTCTGTAGCTTTTGTGTTTTCATTGTCTTCCTTTGCCACCACTGCATTCAAACCTGACTCTCCCGCATTTTCTTTACCTCCCAGGAGTATTTCTAGGTCTGGGTCTTAGTGGGGTAATTCCCACTCTGCACTTTGTCATCTCTGAGGGGCTCCTGAAGGCAGCCACCATGGGGCAGATAGGCTGGCTGGCACTCATGGCATGCCTGTACATCACTGGTGCTGCACTCTATGCTGCCCGCATCCCGGAGAGATTCTTCCCTGGCAAGTGTGACATCTGGGTGAGTCTACTGAGTGACTGGAGGAGGAGACCAATTTGAAAGCTGGTTCCCCTTGAGCCTGAAGGATGTTGTGTCAATGTTTTCTTATTGCAAGTATCAATACTGCACCAGAGGCCATAGGTCTTCAGGGACCAAATGAGTCTGGGCTCTCTGAGCCTGGCTTAGCTGGTGCCTCTCTTCCCAAGTTGTCACAGCCTGGCTGGTCTGAGGTAGCTGCTGGTGTGCAGATTCCCCTCAGTACATTTCTGGATAGCTTTAACAAATGAGCAAGAAACTGCAAACATTTTTGTGTGTATGTGTGTTGAGGATCCTGCACGGACACATCTTTACCTTGCCTCTGTGCACAGCAGTACATGGTTATTTCATTGATGTTCAGTGTGTTCTCTGGGAACGTGTTCTCCATGTTCTCTCATGTTCCCCATGTCTGGCTCCTCATCTTGTATGGCCAGTGAAAATGCTGGACAGAGGTGGTAGGCTTTGTGGGGAATCTCTGGCCCAGAAGAAGGGATGGTGGGGTGAGCAAGTGGGTGGGTGGAAAACTTGGTATGAAGGAAAGAATCATGAAGACTGGAGGAGAAATACCTGAGGAAGATGTAAGGAAAGGAGCTGGGTGGAGCAAGAGTAGAGATGAGGGAAAGTGGACCTTTGGAAGGCCACTGTACTTGCACTTAGGATAGTTTAAGATCCTATAAGAAGACTAGAAGTGAGAATGAGACCTGGGTTGTTTGAGCAGCTTGTGCACAGGTTTGTTACTATAGTGACCTAATCTCCAAAGCACTGGTGCACCACCAACTCTTTTCCAAGCTTCCCATGAAGCCTGCAAATACGCATTTGTAGGAATATTTCAGGAGCATTATCCATATTGGTATGGCTTCCCTCAGACAAGGGCATGTTTTGTCATGGAGCTCTCTCACAGTTTTCATTCTGCACTACTCCAATCAGTGACATCCTGGGCATTCATTCAGAACATCCAGTTATTTCTAGGTTTTAATATAATTCCATGTTTTTCTATTCTGTTTCTCTGTGGTATAGGAATAAAATACTAGCATGCAGAATCAACTTGCTAAAACTTATGCCTGTGACCAGAGCAGAGTTTGTACCTGTTATCTGTATGAGAGATAAATGTCCATAAACCACCAGTGTATCTTGTGGAGGAACTAATTTTAAGTGTCCTGCTTAAGCCTTTTGCCTAAGCTTCTGCAATTCTCCTTGTCCCTTTGCAAAGATGAGCTACAGCAGTTCTGTAGCACAATTTTTGGCTGACCAGTTGGTTCAGATGACTCTGAAGGGAAGGGGAGGATGCGTGTGTGTGGAGAATTCGATTATTTTGCTAAAGATAGTAGAGGGGTGAGCTTTACCACACAGCCTGGAGAGCTGTGCAGCTCCTGGGTGAGGCACTGCTCTGTGTTACTGTGTACTTCAGCTGAATGTGGGTTTGGGTTTGGGTTTGGGTTTGGGTTTTGGGGGCAGGGTGGCCTCAGGGCCCTGGCTGAACGCAGGTGTTTCCTTCCCGCAGTTCCACTCCCATCAGCTGTTCCACGTGTTTGTCGTGGCTGGCGCTTTCGTGCACTTCCACGGGGTCTCCAACCTGCAGGAATTCCGCTTCACAGTCGGAGGGGGCTGCTCAGAGGAGGATGGGATGCAGTAGGGGCAGCTGCAGCCCGAGAGCAGAACCAAAAGAGAGCCCCGGCACGGGTGAAGCATCCAGGCCTAGCAAAAGGAATACCTAAGAAGAATCCAAGTTTCAGCTGATGAGGCATGGAGCTTCATGGGGATTCTGACTAATCAAGATAAATTCTATACCTCAAGCAATGGAATAAATCAATTTGAAGACCAGGAAATTCTGAAAACCTAATTTATTCTTGGGATCTACAGATTGAGCTACAGAGGACCCTTTCCAAATCGGCTTCTGTTCAATGCCATATTTATTTGTAGAATTGGGGAGGGATAGCTTAGCAGTTTCCTTTTTTTTAAAAAAAAGAAAAAAAAAAAGTCAAGGTTAAATTTATATCCTCTTGGAGGGTTTGGGCGTTGATTTTAGATGCTCTTTTGGGAGAAAAACAAATTGTAAATAAGATTTCTAACTTTCTGTTTAAATAAAATTTATATAAATGTTTTAAACAATGGGTGGGGGGAAAAGGGTTTTTGTAAAGAATGCAACATGCAAGTACCACACACTGTTTCAATTTTGCACAAAATAAATGATTGCAGGAGGACCAGGTAAAATTCCCAGGAGTGAAGCACGCTGGCCCTGTAGATTTTCCTGGTGGCCAGCATGCCCTGGGCAGTGTGGGGTCCTGGCCAGCACCTGGAGTAGGTTCAGGACAGGTACAGGAGGGTTGTGAAGGCTGGATTAATCATGGTGTCATCCAGGTCACAGTGTGAGCAAATGGATTTGCTCCAGTAACTGGAAAGGTGCATCTGCTCCCTGCCTGAGTGTGGGGGACAGCTGCATTCCCAGCCTGTGTGCAGTGGGAGCTTTGGGATAATGGATCCTGCAGTTGGTTGGTTTGGGTCTCATCCTAGGAACTGGAGCATGGTGGGTAACTGCACATGAAATGGCAAACAGTCCAACTCCATCAGTGCCTGCCTACACCCAGAGGCCCCCAGGGAGAGGATGGTTGCCATTTGCAAGCCTGCTTCGTTTGCTCTGAAGGGTGATGGTAATAGACTTGTCAGAAGATTGTTGAGCATGTGAGGGGAAACAGAGGTAGGGTTAAGATGGACTGGAAAGAGGAAGCTGTGTGCTCCAGGATTTGGAATTAACAGGCACTGCAGACCTCAGGCACATTACCATCCTGTGTGTCAGGCTCCATATGCCAAGGCAGTTTGCAGGTTTTTCTTTTTAAGGAGGAATAGATCCCTAACCAGTCCAATGCAGTTCCTTTTTTTTTTTTTTTTTTTTGTCCTTAGGTCTGCTTTCCATCTGTGCTTTAGCAGTGGGACTGCTGGTATTTCTTAAGCCTAAATCTGAGAGTTCAGCTGGATTGCTGTGGAGCAGACACACCTCCTATATAAGGGGAGGCAAATACCCCTCTCCTGTGTAATTGATGTAGCTTGAGCTTTGGAGCCCAGTCAGAAGCCAGACTGAAGGAGAATCTTTGGAGTAGTAAGGTGGAACTTGAACATTTTGTTTGTTATGGCACAGGTATTGCTTGGAGGCTTTAGCTGGAAATTCAGAGCAATTACCTCTCTCACAGATGAGTTAAACAGCTCATACCATGCAGTATTTCACAGGGAAGGAAGGTAAAGGGTGGTTGGTTGTTGTGTGAGGTGGTTTTTTTTTGTTGTTGCTGTTGTTGGGTTTTGGTGCTTCTTTTTTTTTAGATTCCCTCAAGTTTCAGTTTTCATTCTTCAAGAGAAAGAGATGGATTGCAAAGATCTTCCCATACCCTGGATGTCACAGTGTGTTTTGGGGAGTCGCTTTGTCTAATGGAGTCAGGTAGAAGCAGAATGCCCTCCTAAAGCTGAGTGGGCATTAAGGCTTCACCCCTGGAGTGGAGTAAAGCCTCTGAGGGTAAGGTCACCTGCAGAAGGAGGTGCTGCAGCAGCCTGCGAGTTCAGAGGGATGTGTTCTCAGTAGGATCCTGACACTGGATGCCCGTAGGGCTGGAAGTAGTTTATCCCAGGTCTGTGGTATTTAAATGAAGGAAAGGGTGGAATTACCTTGGGTGTAAGGGCTAATAGCACTGGCATCCCAGACAAGGAGTAACTGTGCTGGTGTCTGAGCCAAGGGTGGTACATATCAGAATCAGAGCTGGCTGGAAGTGCTTTGGGATACCTCAGAACAGTACCAGCAGAAGCAGCAGCCTCCATCCTGGATTATCCCACGTTCACTCCTCCAAGGGTGATTGTAACCTGGTCCTACACAGCACAGAACTATTACAAAAACACAGTACTCCACCTGCTATTCTTAACCCAGTCAGTCTCTCTGTTCAAGAAGTTTGTGTGTTCCAATAAAAACAACCTAGCTGTGCACTTTTCTGTAGCTTTTGCTGAGAACTCTTCCCAGGTTGGCACCTGAATGCCTTACTCTCAGCAGTCAGAGGCTTGCTTGCTCTGTGTGCAGGTTATTGCCATAGAATAGTTAGGACCTACAGCTTCTTTCCTTCCCCATTAAATAGTGGCCTTGTTCAGTATATTTCTTTTTAACAATTGCTTACTGTTGGAAGCAATGAAGCACATTCTGGGGTTTTGATGGCTGGGGACTCTGGTGATGGTTCCATATAAGATGGGATCTTATTACTTGCTGTATTCTTAACTTCTGCTAATAAAAGAACCAAATTGATTATTGTCTGGTCTGGGTCTTTCTGCACTGTGTGGACAAGAGGGGCAAGGGTGCAAAGCACAAGAGCTGGGGGGAAGAGAGGGTCGTTGCTGGAGACTTTGCTGGTTGTGGGCAAAATTTTAGGTGAGTTGAAATAAAGAAAATAAGTTCAGGAGGCTTGGACTTAAATTCCTGGTATAGAGGAAATGCCTCCTATCCTGTATGCATGTAAAGGATTCATCATCTCCTCCTGGTGGGCTGGTGTTGGCACGAGTGGGCTTTGACTGGGCAGGGAGAGGGGCTGGTGGTGGCCACAACAGCCTATGCCTGGTGGGGCTTCCTGCTGCTCCTTGGCTGTCAGCAAACGTCTGGGAACTGCCTGAAAAGGTCACACCTAATCCTGCTCTTGGGTTGGCTCACACCAGGCCTGGTGCCCTCAGCTGAGCTGTGCTTTTGTCAGTTCCTTCACTCAAGGTGAGTGTTCTGCAGTGACTTGTAAGAGAGACAGCTCCTGTTAATGACCTCTGCAGCTTGATGGATGTCTCAGGATGGATTATTACTACCATTATTGTTATTTTAATGAAAAGTAAATTCAAGGAACATGGAGAATGTCGGTATCAGATTTCACACCAATTATGACTACACTAAAAGTAGCTGCCACATTTGAATGTGAATTGGGTTTGTTTCCAGAAAGAAGAGTGATACTTAAAAGCTGTCTGGGCAGGATAAAATTATATGTCCCACCTCCTCTGTGAGTAGTTGTGTCCCTGCTCTGCCCTCTCCCGAGAATCATTTGCTTCATTCATTGCCAAGTACCTGAGAATGGATTGGAGTGCTGCAATCAAGGTGAGCGTCTGAGGCCATTGCCTAACTTTCTAACGAGCTGGAAAGAAATTAAGTACATGATCAGGATGGAAGAGCTGATTGGTTTCGTTGAAGCTATTAAAGGCCTCCTTGCAAAATCGAGTTCTTTCTCCCTTTATTTTTTTTTCACCCCTGCTTCCCGTGTGGCATCAAAGCAACTTGTTTGAACCAAACTCTCCTGCTGCACAGTGCTGCTGTATCTGCCTGGAATGCCTAAGCTGAAATTCTCCGGGCTGATTTCCAGGAGTGCAGAGCACTAATGTGGTTGGAATGAAGTTGGTTAAAAAGCTTGATTCCTTGGAGAGTGTATGTGGTGATTCCTAAGTGCCTATTGCTCTTGAAGAAGGAATACTGGCCTTGAGTGCACGGCAACATGGAGAATGCCACACCTGGTCATCTCCAGGTTTGAGCAATGAGCAATGAAGGAAAAGTGTGGGTGGAATCTGCCCAACATGACCAAGGCAGCTCCTGTGAGAGCCCTGCAGTGTGAGCAGTTCCTTATGCCTTGTTCCTGCTCCTTGGGAGCCCAGCACTCCTGGGTGAGTGCACAGAGCTGGTTTGCCACCTGGATCTTATCCCAGAGTCACAGGGTGGTTTGGGCTGGAAGGGACCTTAAAGATCACGTAGCTGCAACCCCTCTGCCATGGACAGGGACACCTTTCCAACCAGACCAGGTTGCTCAGAGCCATATTCAAGCTGGCCTTGAACACTTCCAGAGATAGGGCAGCCACAGCTTCTCTGGGCAACCTGTACCAGTGTCTCATCACCCTCATAGTGATGAAGACTTCTGGCATTTCTGGAAGCTTCACCTTTGCCTTTCTCCAGTAAAATTCATGTTTAAACTACAGAGGTGTTGGTGTTCCTGAGCGGGGAGAAGCTTGCACTGGAGATTCACCATGAACTCGTTTAGTAGCAGCTTCATCTCTGTAGTGGCATCACTGAGCACAGAGTATCTTTACAGCATAAAACTGGACTGGTCTAGTTGTAAATGAGATGGGAAAACCACTGGCCTGGCTGAGTTCCCAGAGCAATGGTGAGTTTCCCTTAGAGAGGCAAATGCCACCCAGCCGGTTCCAGTGCCTGGCTGTGCTCTCACCTCGAACCCTGCCCCACCTGTGCCGGTGTTTTGGGGGTTGTCTTGGCGCTGGCTGGAGCTGAGCTCCCCCAATCCCAAGTTTTCTCTGTGGCTCTGGCCAGGCTGCAGGGCTGGCGCTGGCAGACGGGGCTGTGGGGTGGCATCTGCTGCTGGCACGGGAAGCCACCCCCCCTGGGAGGGAGCAGCCGCTGCCACCACCTCCCTGCCACCTCCTGGCCACGGTGGCCAGCCTGGACTCTGCCTTGGCTCTGGCCCAGCTCCCCATCCTGCTGCCTGCAGGGGCAGCCAGGCTGGGATTGCTGCCTTTGCCAGGGAGCCTCCTGCCAGCTTGGAAAGTGATATTCTGTCCCTCAGGGCTGGGCAGGAGGAGGTGACAGCAGGCTCCAGCCCCTGCTGCCAGGGCTAAAGAAAGTCACTGCTGGCTGAGACAGACAAGCAAGAGCAGCTGGGAGCTTTGGCTGGTGTCACTGCTATGGGGGTTTGTCTCCTTCCCTGCTGCCCATGAGAGGCCAACCCTTGGTGCAAGAGTGGCCTCCAGTGAGGCTGGCAGCTCCTGCCACTGTCCCACTCTTCCTGGAGGAGAGCTGAGGAGCAGCCATGCACATCCCTGTGTGACACAGGCTCTGCTCCTGGGAAGGACAGTGGCAGCTGCCTGGTCTTGGAGACCCAAACAGGTCTAAAGACAAGGCTCAGTGCCCAGCCCTCCTCTGCTGCCAGCAGGGGCCTGCCTGGGGAAAGTGGGGGAGCCAGGGC